GCGTATTCTGCAAGCAAAGCGGAAGGCTTGGTTTACGTGGCGCGTATCTAAAAGCCAGGTCGACCATGCTGCATACCTGGAAGTCAGGAACCAGTGCAATGCAAGAGTCAGGAGGGACAGAAGATCATTCCAGGCTAACCTTGCTAAAAACTCCTGGCAAACCCGAAGAATTTGTACCGATTCATTTCGGAAAGGAAACCAACCAACCAGGGGGCTTGCGCCTTAGTAGGCCAAAACGGTCAATATCTCACCAGTGTGTAGATGGCTGAAACATTTAGTTTAGCCTTCGCCAACCAGCTAAACAGCAATGTGGGTATTACCATTACGGACCAAAATGGTAGCATGACTATTTCACAGGAGGAAGATCAAATAGCCAATCCCCAAATACACCCTGCAATAGCACTGAGAAAGCTGCAGCAACTCACACCTGGGAAGTCCCCAGGTTGTGATGACATCAGGCCATCTGTTCTGAAGCAGTGCGCCGAAGCTCTCTGTAGGCCTTTATGCGACTTGTTCCAACACTCCATGGAATCGGGGAGACTGCCAAAGGAATGGAAAAGAAGCATCCTTTCTCCGATCTTCAAGGGTGGGGATAGACAAAATCCCACCAGTTATAGACCAGTAGCTCTACTCCCAGTGGTATCGAAAGTACTGGAAAGTATTATTGATGATCGCATCAGGGAATATCTGGATAGGTCTAAAATACTCCATGAAGCCCAACACGGTTTCAGTAAAGGCAGATCCTGCGTCACTAACTTATTATCAGCTTGGGACGACTGGACATCATGCTGGGATATGAATGTTCCAGTCCATATGATCTTTCTAGACTTTGAGAAGGCATTTGACACTGTTCACCATGACTTTCTCCTACACAAAATAAGCCAGGTAGGTTTAGGTAAACCACTTCTGTCATGGTTGAAGGACTACCTAACTGAAAGGCAATTTTGCACCAAGGTCAATCGAGTCCGATCATCTTGGCACGGCTCGTCATCAGGAGTGTCGCAGGGTTCTATCCTGGGACCACTGATGTTCTTGATTTTTATCAGTGATGTACCATACCATCTAAGCTGCCCAACTCTTTTATACGCTGACGACGTAGAGATACGGAGGGCAATAAAGTGTCCGGAGGACTCAGATAGACTGCAGGCAGATCTGAGGCTTCTGGAAGACTGGGCGGTAGCCAGTGGCATGAATTTCAACCTGAAGAAGTGCAAAGTAGTGAAGTTACGCACCTGTAGACTGCAGAATACAAGTTACACCCTGTGAAATGAAAGCTTGTCCTGCACAACGTCGGAACGTGACTTAGGTCTAGTTCTAATGGCAAAAATGGACACAAGCGTAAATTACACCGGGGATGTAGCGAGGGCATATGCGGTCATACACTTCACACATAGATAATTAGGTGCACTCACTCCTGAGCTCTTTCTAAGGTTGTATAAAACATACGTCGGACCGCACCTTGAAGTGCATAATATCATTGCACCCCCACTGCTTAGAAGAGACGCCAACCTCTTGGAAAGAGTCCAACGACGGGCAACAAAAGGAGTGGTTGGTCTCCGAAATAAAACATATGATGAAAGGCTGAAGAAATTAGGCCTATTCACACTTAGTTACCGTCGTCTTAGGGGGGATCTAATTACTGCGTACAAAATAACAAGTGACCAGAATCACCCAAACAAAGGTGTTCTGCCATTGAGTAGGTATAGGCTCCCTCGTGGAAATCATAGAAGGATAGCTTATCAGAGGGCAAGGACACGGGTGCGCTCCCACTTCTTTTCCCTGCGGGTTTGCCGTCCCTGGAATTCCTTACCGGCAGATGTAGCTATGGCACCATCTGTGGACGCCTTTAAGCGAAGGCTGGACAACTTTGCAGCAACACAAGGACTTCATCCAAATGGCCTATCCCCTTAAAATCGCATACGCCATTCAAAGGTAGACAATTAAACTGGTCGTTTTACTTCTTTACATTCTCTTCAGTCTTACTCTCCTGACAGCTTTAACTACACTATTATTATTATCATTATCATTATTACTGGTTGGCTGACTGTTGTTACGTTTTCTTATTCTTTTTCTGTCTGTTAGTCTGAATACCTTCACTAATTATATCTATTATTATTATCTCTTTTCTATTGACAACAATACCGGAGGACCAACTGGTGAAAGGATCAACTCCATTCACAGTAGTAACAGTCTTAACACACCTCATACTACAAACCACATATAATTAATCCCTGCGCTACTCCTTTTGGAGTCAACCAAAGCTACGGCAGTCGAGTGGCGGGACGAGCTACGCAGACGTTTACCGAAGACCAGGAACCTCTACCTCACAATCAAGAGGCGAGCACAAAGAAATCAAATTGGTTCATACTAGCTCGTAAAAACGATATTGGATATTGGATGTTCTCAATGAACATTGGACAATAGATGGTACAAGGTTGGTTTGAAGGTTGCGGAACGCTTTTAAAGGGGTGTTTATTGTAAACGATATTGTCTGGTGTTATGGTAGTAAATTTATGCAGCTTGCTTTTAAGTTGACAAAATAATATTCCATAATTTTTCAAAATCTCACATCTAAGTGTTTAATTTCAGCGAACTAACTAGTTAAATTGCTGGGTCACAATGATTTTATTTTAAAGAACTAATTGTGCTTTACTAGTCGCGTCCCAGTTTTATGCAATTTTGTGTAGTGCGGTTATTTTTTAAGCCTTTTGGATTAGCAAAAGCATAATGACTTCTCTTAGAAATATCAATTAGGATCCTAATTATTATGTATGTTGATGGACTCATCTTATAGCTTCATAAATTTTCATGGTTTTCAACATCCCAGTGTTGATGAAAGTGACTTACTGGCTTCACGTAAAATGCGATGGGAAAATAGGTCAACTTCTTTGAGAAAATAAAATGAAACATTAATGGACAAAGCTGTGCGAAAAAACTTATGGTGAGTTTGCCTAGAGTGTGCTTGAAAACAGAGAGCGAAGACGTCGTCGTTGCGAAAAATTTGGGCTCCACTGTCAACAAGGTGTAACCACTGGTTCTCAGAATTCCGAGGACCCCAACCAGTAAGTCTACACCTCAAACTGCTCTCTAACTCGGACAATCGACTTCCATTTGGGGCGTCCAGGGAATGTAATCTTGTCCCATGTGATTTAGCATAAACATCCGCGTATTAACATCAGCGCCTACTTAATAATTGTGGCTGGCAACATACATGGAATTTCTGTTCGATAGAATCGAGTTCTAACAACCCTGAAAGGCTCAAACTAACGTTCATTGACTAAAAGCCCACTCTAAATGATACAACTTGTAAAGGAATAAAGTGGCCTGGCACGCGTAATTTGTCTTAGTCTCCTCAGTCGAGACTTAAACTGTGCACCTATGGACTAAAACCGCTAACCTTTCTACATTTGACTTCGACCATATCATACGGCTGTAAGTAGGATGAAGCAAACTACTTCACAGCACACATGTCCGTGTATAGATAACCAAGTATCACGCCGATTGCAAAGATGGCGTAAGTTGACAAGCATCAGATGAGCCTCTGTATATGTGCAAAGGTTATGTCAGCAGCCAGTTTACTACGTTCTAAATATCATTAACAGTCTTCACACTCATACCACTACTTATCATTAACCTGGTAGTCTGTGCAGGTCCGTCCTAAAGCACTATATTGTGATTGAAAGAAACCAATCACCTGTCGAACATACTAAGATTTTTTGTTCCGTGCATTTTGCCAGCATCATCCAGGAGAATTATATCATCTATATACTTTAGGTCAACATATCTTTTCCGGTAGCTAGACACTTCTTAGGACATCGATTGGTATATTTTAAGTTATTAGGAAGTGTTTCTGTCCTCCCACCGGTTAGCAGTGATAATAGAGTTAAGAAAAAATGAAGAAACTCTCTGTTGGCTAGCCTTCATGATGTGGGTGGCCAGATACTAACAACCTTCCACACACCTCCGAAAATACACAAAGCTCTCCTGATCGCTACCCACCTCTATCTACGTCAGTCATTCAGGTGATTAATGGGGTGAATTGAACAAAACGAGGATTAGTAAATGAGGAAACTCACGTACTTATGTAAGTCTGTGTGGCTTTGCTTCTCGATTGTCTATTCCCTCTTTGAGTACTTGAAAAAGAATAGATATTGGTGTTACGTGGCGACATTTTCGTTGTATTCGGAGATGGAGTCTGTGGGATATACTTCGTACGAATGACCACCACGGGGTAAATCGGAATGTCCAATTTCTTAATTCTTCCTAAACGGGGTGGTAAGATAGCATATCTGGCTTGTTGGCTAGTCATGAGATATAGTTTACCTATGTTACATCGATACATGCTAGTAGTACAACTTCACAACTAAGTTCCCCACCATAATGGAAGCAAATTACCTTATGACAGTTACCGCTTTTAGTTTAACCGCTCTCCTACTAACATTTTTATCATGGCAGGAACCATTCGTTACTGCCATTGTACCTCTCTCGATCCTTGTGATATGCTCGCTGCTCCCTGTATCACTGCGGGAAGATTTGTTTTCCTCCCCTTATGAAATAGAATGATTATTGATCCACACCGGTCCGATGGAACATTCACGAAATCGCATACGCTAGTGACTTTGTAAACGTACTTATTTTTGCGTTTCGTTTTTGAAGACGTTTCAAGATTAATTTCAGTTGAAGCTGAAGTTTAGATAGTTGTTGGACATGTAGGTCATAAGCACTGAACATAAATATTTGTCCAGTATTGATTCTTCGTTGTCCCAGTGACTCAACTTTCTAATGATCGACTTAATCTCTTAGTACACATTCAATATAGTATCCCACCCTTCGTAGCTGTTTAGTATTATCAGTAGAAAAACCTTAATATATTGGTCAAGTTCAAAGTTTATGTTTCAAATGGTCTAATGCATATATATAAACGACATAGAGAAAATATTGTGTTGATGTCTATGCGTTACATTGCATCTAAAATCTAATACAGTAGTTCAATGTTTTGCAGGTTTTTGGTGAAATTCAATTGTAGCATTATGTCAAAATACATATGTGTTGATTTAAAAAATGCGTCTGGATGTGTGAACGTCATCACAGTTGTTAAATATTTTGGCAGACCAAAGAAAACGAAAGGTTCCGGGTATTCGCTGTTTTTATCTGTCACTGATCCTTCCTTATGCGGTGATAAGATGTCATGCATCATTTTTCATGATTCGGAAGAAAATTTACCCCAGGTATGATCATTTCGTGGTTATGTCAGGTAAATTTCCTGTTGGATCTGTTGATTTGATATGATCATTCGTGAAATAAAATAAATTTTTGTAGATACAATTGCGAGAGTTCGACGACAGCTTCTGAAGCCTTTCTATGGAATTACGAGATTGTTTGATATCGTCAACTGGCTTAACGATTGCCCATGAGCTTTCTTCTCACACAATAACCTTCGTGTTACCTTTGACATCCAACTATTGTTTCCCATTGGAGTTCCACTCTAGGGCCTGGCGTGTAATGTGAACATTTTCCTCAGCGTATATCCCACTCATCCTCATTTGCATATTTGTTCACCAGTAGCACCTTAGTTGATTTGTTCCCGGACTTCCTTGTCGCTAATCCCTTCCAGACGACCATCTGGTCTTCAGTATGTAGCAAAGGCAAATGTTGATAAAATTTAAAAAAGCCTGTTGGAAACGCTCTTCACGACGCACCAAGTTTCTGACCCATATAGAAGAACCGACTCCACATTGATGTTGGAAACTCGAATCATGTCCTTCATGCTGAATACAGAAGATTTCCACAATGATTTCAGAGCAATGAGCACCTTTCTTGGCCCTTGAATCCTGCTTTGAAATCGTCATCTATTCCGCCTGTGGTTGATAGTGACTGGTGCTGGTTGCTGTTGCATGCCTATCTCCATCGTTCATCTTTTCCATGTTCAATTGGAGTCCTGTCTCCGTTGCTTCTTCAGCCAGTTAATTTGGTTTTCGCATACGGGTCTTCGAGTTTGTATGACAAGATACATAAATCGTCTGAGAAGTCCAGATCTTCTAGAGTCTTCTTATAGGCCCGGCGTATTGCAGTTTCTTCGTTCCCCACAGTCTACCACATAATCCAGTCGACCACAATCGGGAATATCATCAGTGATATTAGACAGTCTTGTCTCACTCGTGTCTTTGTTTTAGAGACTTTGCTGAGTTTTCCGTTGTGGTATAAGAATAAAACTTGGGCACTGTGGTAGAGTCACTGAAGTCACTGAACATATTGAAATGGGTCCATATGAGGAAATTAAGAAGCCCGTAGACACAATAATGAATAAGGTTAAAAAATCCACAGCGGAATTAGTACGCAGAATGAAGCCGTCACTGAGTGAGTCAAAATGGTTTAATTTAATGCCTAAAACTAGTAATGCTAGTAGGATGTATGGTACTATTAAAATACATAAGCCAGGTTATCCCATAAGACCAATAGTAGATTTTAAAAATACCCCTACATATGAATTATCAAAACATTTAGCTCTAATATTATGCCGCATTAGAAATCGTTCAAATTCTAGACTAACTAATTCATATGAAATGAAAAATAAACTAAATGACATACAACTAGATAATGATGAAACAATGGTTAGTTTTGATATAACTAGTCTTTATACTAATATACCAGTCAATATGGCCTTAGAAGCAGTTAAAAAAGAACTAACTGTGGATACTGAACTCAATCATAGGACAAAGCTGTCCATTGAAGAAATTATTTTAGGGATTCAGCTATGCCTCACATCTACTATCTTTAGATTCCAAGGCAAAATATATAGACAAACTGAAGGTGTAGCAATGGGATCACCAATATCCCCTATCGTAGTAGATATATTTATGGATAGCTGGGAAAATATGGCACTTATTACGTTTAATCCTACTCCAAAAATATGGTGGAGATATGTGGATGACACTTTCACAGTGTTAAAAACAGAACATATCTCTAGCTTCTTGACACACATAAACTCACTAGTGGAGGGAATAAAATTCACATTTGAAACCGAAAATGAGCAAGGAGAATTAGCTATGTTAGGTTGTAAAATAAAACGAATAGAAGAAGGCAAACTACACACTAGTGTTTATAGAAAACCAACGCATTCTAATAGATATTTAGACTTTAATTCATCTCATCCTTTAAATGTTAAGGCAGGCTTAGTTAAGTGTTTAACAAACCGAGCAATGGCACTAAGTAGCACAAAAAAGACCTAAATGATGAAATAAAACAGATAGAAGAGGCGTTGGTTCTAAATAACTATCCTCTAAAATTCATTAGGAAGATTGAAAAACGCCAAAAGAAAAATAAAAAGAATTGTGAAACTGGTAGTAATAACATAAATAAGAGAGAATATAAGTCATCTACAGTTATACCATATAAAGAGGGGACATCTGAGACCCTACGTAGGATTCTAAATAAAGCAGGAATTAGGGTGGCATTTAAACCTACAAACTCACTCAGGGACAAGCTCTGTAGGTTAAAGGACCCAGTGGACCCAACTAGATAAAATAATATAATTTACAAAATACCCTGCAATGACTGTGAGGTCAACTACATAGGTCAAACTAGTAGGTCAGGGGTAGTCAGATTGTCAGAACATAAGAATTTAGCTAAGGTAAGAATGGTTGCCCCAGAGAAGATTAGTAATTTAGAAAAAAGCTCGGCAATTGCAATGCATGCATTAACACACAACCACACAATAGGGTGGGAGAGGGTTAAAATTCTAAAAAGTAATCTAGGTAGGTGGAGAGAGAGGTTGATTACTGAATCTTTGTTCATCGAATCTACACCCAACACATGCAATTGGAATGAATCATCACTCATACCTGAAATATGGAAAATAATACTACCAATCAAATCAAATGAAAAACAATGGAACTATATAAATGAATTTAGGAAGTCGTGTGATTAACTTGATATGATTATGAGCAATAAATTGTGCTCGAAACGTCATCAGTAAATATTACTGTATAACACTGTGAGACTCTATCAAAATAAAATTTACCCATAATGGAATTTTCCGTTGTGGAACACTTGACATGTGGCGTCATCACATAGATGTTGAATGAGGTTGACCAAGGTTTCGGGGCACACTGTAGTATCGCGGTGGTTTCCGAATTACTTCGTGGTCAACGCTGTTGAAAGCCTTTTCAACGTCGATGGGGTTGAGGTAGAAATTTGACTGCCATTCTACGCTTAGTTCGATGTCGCTGCTGCTGCTGCTGATGCATGGTGGCAATTTGATCCGCACATGATTTGCCTTTCGTGAATCCAGGTTGTTCTGGGCTGGCGTAGTGCTGCCTGCATCCAGTGCACCTTTTATTCTCTCCAGGATGACGCGACCAGGCATTTTACTTGGTGTGGTCAAGAGCATTATTCTGCGCCAGTTCTTGCAGAGTGAGGCGTAAGTCGCCCTTCTTTGCTAGTTTGACAAGGCAGCCTTTCTTCCAATCCTTAGTTGTCTTTCTTTCCTTCCAAACACTGTGCAGTAATGGCGTCAGCGTATATTGGCTTCGGCCTCTGGTTCCGATTCCAGTGCTTCCGCAAGTATTCAGTCTAATCTTGTTGCCTTCCTGACTGGCCTTCAGTAGCTTGATTGCATTCAAGATTTCAGCTTTTTGCTGGAGGATTGGTGTCCATTGGTAGACAGTTGTGTGCTGAGTGTTGTTGGTATTTCTGGACGAGTTGTAGGTGATGGTCGGTTGGAGAGTCCTTGGAAGTGATCATCGCATTGTTTCTTTTGTTTGTGCTCTTCGGTAATTAGGTTCCCTTGACCATCACTTATGGGTTTCCGCTGCCTTAATCGTTTCCCGGATAGGGGCCTGGTAATCTAATATAATGTTCTGAGGTCTCTTTTACCTGCCACCTGCCTTTTCTGCTTCAGTTGACAGCCAGTGTGTCGTAGAATTGTCTTTTGCCTTTCCTAGAACTATTAGGTTCCAGAGCCATTCCTTTTCCTGACTCTTCTTTCTTCCTAAAACGGTGACACACTTTTCCCTGCAAATCGGCTTCAAAGGGTTCCAATGCTTTTCTACGCAGATTTCCTCAACGATGCCACGTAGTGTCACCGAATTCGCTCTGTGGCTGCAGTGAAGGTATCTTTTTTGGTTTCATCTTTCCGTGTGTCAGTTGAAGTCGAATTTCGGTCTGTCTGCAGTCGTTATGAAGGCTTTCAACTCGACTTTGAAGGTTCCTTCCACTAGATAATGGTTTGGGCCCACATCTGCTCCGCTTATCGACTTTGTGTCCAACAGGCTGCGTCCTCACTTTCTTGAGCAACATTAAAATGAGGGGTATCTAGTTTTTGGTATGTCCGTCAAGAGAATTCCATGTTGGTTTGTGTATATTGTTGTGCTTGTGCATGCTGTCTCCAGTCATCAAATCACTAAAGTCTGTGGAGAGTTCTCCATTGTCATTCATTTCGCTGAGAACCTCTCAACTCATGATAAGCTCACTTCCTGTATTGTCTGCTTCCAACTGGCATTCATGTCGCCCAAATGGACATTAATGTCTCCATTTGGGATGTTATCCATTACTGTTTGCAGTGGTCCATGTAAATCTTCCTTCCTTTCCTACTTAAAAGAGTTACTGCTTCTTTGTACTAAGAATGTTAAGTTTACATTCGAGGGCGACCATTATCGGCAGATCGATGGTGTTGCCATGGGAAGCCCCCTAGGTCCGTTGTTAGCTGATATATATATATATATATATATATATATATATATGCCGCATGTCGAGAACCTAGTGGATAAAGAAATTGGGAAAGTTTATTTTTATAAAAGATATGTATATGACATAATAGTCATTTGTGATAAACCGACAGACGCCGTAGAAATCCTGAACCGGATCAATAGAGCACAAAACAGCATATCACTAACATATGTTAAAGAGAATAATGGATGCCTGCCATTTTTAGATGTACTAATAACCCACCGAGAAGATGGGTCAGTAAAACGATCTGTCTACAGAAAGTCCACATGGACGGGACAGTACCTAAATTATCATAGTTTCTGTCCACTACAGTATAAGAAGGCGTTGGTTAAATGTTTGTTTAAGCGCATTTGCCGTATATATACTGCCGATACAATTGAAGAAGAAAGACAACACCTCACTGAAATATTGTTAGACAACAATTACCCACTGAGATTTATTAGACGTTACGGAAGTGTCAACCATAGAGCCTTACCAATCCAATCAGCTCCCAAAAAGGATGTTTACATATCCTTACCGTTCAGAGGTGATCAACAAAGTTTAGTCACTAGACAAAGACTAAAGGCCGCAATCAATAGAACCTATTATGCAGCTAAACTTATCTTCATAGAGAAAACGAGGATTATGCTGTTCTGTAAACCCTCACATCATCCGAACGATAGTGTCACATCCCACTGTGTTTATCAATTTACATGTATGTGTGGAGACACGTACATAGGGAGGACCCATCGGTCTCTGCAGGTTAGGGCTACAGAACACATTCCAAAGTGGCTGCAGCAACAAATGAAATCACCAGACACAATTGAACCCGGAAATAGATGTCCAACATTATTGATATAAGTATAAAACTTGGGCACTGTGGTAGAGTATAATTCCATAATGGATAAGATTTTATTTTGATAAATCACACAGTGTAGTACAGTTATATTAACTGATGACGTTTCGAGCATAAACTATTGCTCATAATCATATCAACTTGATATGATTTATCAAAATGAAATCTTATCCATTAGGGATGTCCAACATCATCTATAGCCAAGCATATTATAGAGACGGGTCATAAGGTTGATTTCAACAGTGCCTTTAAGTCGATATATAAAACGAGGTTGGGCCACATACTTAAATTCATTGAAGCCTTAGCCATAAAAAGACTTAAACCTGTCTTATGTGTCCAAAAAATTATTTGTTATCACCTTAAACCTGCCTTGGTAATTCAATTTAGAACCAAGGACTAATTTACTTCCTAATATTTTCAACCCCTTCTTTGCCTTGTTTTTTCTCCTTTTATCTTTCTTACCCACACCTTTTGTGTCTCCCTGCCCATTATTTGTGACCTTGACCTGTATACAATCAGACCTGTATTGTAATTATTCATGCCTTCTTGCATTATATAAAAACTGTGTATGACAAGTACGTATGTGATCAGAATGTCCGAAATGTGTTGCGCCAATACATTACACGTTTCAGATAAACTAAGTCTTCTTATTGTGTTGTCGAAATTCATAAAGGGAACTAATTGCTTTAAATTCTTCTCTTGTTCCGAGTTGTTTGTAGCACTGGATAATTTTAGCCTTCCTTTCGTGTTGAATCTTGCTGTTGTAATCGTTGAGGTTTGTTCCCAGTGCATGCGAGCTTTGGCCCTTGTTGGTGACATCAGGATAGGCACTTCTTCAGTGTACTCGTGGTTGTCGTGTGGATGACCGAAGTAGATTACAGACGCTCCAGTTGACAATTTGCTTAGTCTACATCCATTGCATCTGCTCTCTCATATTGCGAACGTTTCTATATCTTATGTTTTCGTGTTAGGTATTCGGAGCCTCTTTTCCATCTTGCAACATCGTGCAAACATTCCATGTTCTGTTGGTTATTTTCGCTTTCTTCGATCGAAGACGTATCGACTGACTGGCCTCCCTTAAGCTTTCACGATGCTGTGTTATTTGGTCTCCGATTCCAGCCAGTAATAAGTTAATGCTTTTTACTTTTGCTATGCTATGAAGTTTTTGTAGTGATTTGGTTGATTCCTCGAGGTAGGGTCGCTATCCCCACACCCAGACTTCCATCTTCTTCCTGTCTCATGACTGGCTAGTAAACCATTAACCTACGGGACGAAAGAAGCCATTAATATTACGTAATTGAATACACAAAGAGTTCAGTGGGTAGGACTACACGTGTTTGTATGTGGACTAAGGGAAAACAACTACAAGTTATTCCATAATCAGGAAAGAAATTTGGACACCAAACAGAAGTGCGAAATTAACAACACATGTTACATAAAAGTTATATAATCTAGATTACCCGAAGAGACTAAGGTTAGTAGAAGTCAAACAGTAAGAGTACGAATAGACATAGAAAAGATAAAGTGTATGAAACGATATAGTGAAAATTAGAAATAATTAAAGTAACAAAATATTCAAAAAGATTACATAAATCTAGTAAGGTAGAGAAACATATACCATACTTTCTTTTTGGATACTCAAGTTTATTTTCAGCTGTGTGATAGCTGTCATACAGAAATGGGACTGACTTGTGTATTAATTAGAACTTTCATGACTACTATCTACCACTACTGAATACCTAAAGTGTTCAGCTTGAAGTTTTATGGGATATGCAGAGACATACTGTCGTAATCCCCTTATTTTGCATGTTTGATAGCTTATTATCCTACTAAACTTGCTGTTGTCACTTTGTTGAAGATAAAACTGTCAGAGTAAATCTAACTCACTCAGTATTAGTTTAGTTGTATTACACGAATGATTTGACGAGTGTTTATTTAGGATGTTTGGAGGTAATGCTAGGGAAGCTTTTGGTATGCATTGCATACTGACTGATATTCAAGGTTAATCTTTCTTTTTGAAAAGAAAGTCTTCTTATTGACTCTGAGGCTTGTCACCTAGTGCTGATATGGGACCGTGTTAGATCCTTTGATTACTTTTTACTGACAAATCAGTGTCACTTAATGTACTTTTGCCTTTTTTATCGGTAAATAATCGTGGCGTTCAAATGTCTGAAATCAGTTAAGTACCTTTTCTAGTTTTTACTTTGTTTTAATCTTGATTGTTATTACTGCCAGACATAATTCCAAACTATGAGCTTATGAAAGCCCTAGTGAATATGCAATGTCGTTTCTGCTTTCCATTGTTTCATACCTCTCGTAAATTTTTCAGGAATTACATTTATAAAGGCTGCTAAGACACCACTTTCGCTCCGTTATTTTTAATTTACACACTTTTTGATGTCAATGAAATAATTATATTCTCTTACATAACTAAACGTTCTCAGTTTATGCGTTCCAACCGATTTGTATGACTGCTCAGTAAAATCTCTTAAATGTTTTGGATTTCTTAATTCAAGTCAAATTTATAGATAGTTTTCTAGAATTCGTTACGCGTTTCTCTGTAATTCACTTTCAATTATCTCATATAAAAATTACATTCCATTCTTTAATTTATTTTTTGTTTTTGAAAATGGGAATTTCTTTTAGATTCGCGCTCCTGGAGATATTATCATCATGCATAGACTTGTTGTTAAACAGTTTAATGGTCGTAACCAGGGATGTGGTTATGGCACTACTGGTTTTAGTGCTGCTGTATTTTCTGGCGCGCCTTCTGACCCATTGACTCCTTTCAATTCACCTACTCAATGCAGCGTGGGTTAACTTTTCTACAATATTAACACTTTGAATAAAATAAATTTTTGTTACATGATTGAGTGTATATATAAGAAATATGTTTATGTTTGACTTTAGTCAAAGAGAAGAATTACAGTTTAGTAATTTTATATTCTAAGAAACTTTTAAACTACAATAAAGTGTAGTTGACTAACTAAAGTATTGGTTTTTACTGGGTTTAAGTTAAGTCATACTATTCGAAAGATAACTAAAGACTGAGAAAGTTCCTAATTACATAACGTCGGTATAAAAAAACGGATCAGTGTTAAATGGAGATTAAAATTTTGCATAAGCAATGGACCAGTTCCATTTAGTGAATGAACAAATGAAAATCACTTTAAAGTGTATGAGCTGTAGTTAAATGAATGTTGACATGACTGACGTCTTAGCACACAACCTGTTTTATTAATTTGTGTTGGTTGACTTCTTCCATTGACTTAGGCACCCTAAATGTGTGTTAATTCTTGAGGAGAATGGTGCTTTTGTTTCTGTATAGTATTAAATATACATTTTCCCTTTATTATTAAATGTTTGCTTAGTGTCTATGGCGTATAGAAATTACAGCACTTAGTTATGAAACTACTAGTGTATATAACATTAAGGTTAGTGGAATTATTAAATTTTATGCGTGTTGTAACTGTTATTTACTAAGGATGTATTTCAATTGTTCTTTCCTTTTTGGTTTGCATCAGTTTAGCGAAAAAGAGGTGGAAGTTGTTAAAAATCTGAGAAAATGGTATACTTCTCCAAATTGCCCAGTTGAAAAAGAAAATCTAAATGTAGGAAATACATCAGAACACAATGGTCAACTTAGTAGGATTCCTCGAGCAGGAGTAAGAAGAATAAGGTCTTTAAAAGCAGATGAATTCTGTACCATTGAAGGACAAGTAGGTTTTTCTATTTTCGGTTTATTAATTTATTGTACGTATTTTATTCCTCATGTCCAACATATTTTACGCGAAAAAATTAATAATGCATAGGACAAATTATTTAAACTTTAAAAAGTCGCCATAAAAAAGAAATTGTGTTCTGTAAGAGTATGTTTTAAATTGGTCATTAATGAACTCTTCCGCAACAAACCATGGAAGTGTGACACTTGTTCTTCAATCAGCGGTCACAAGTGTGGTGCTTATATTTCCAGTTATTTCTCACTCTAATTGGTCTCTGCGGTATGATAGTCGAATAATGCAGATCACTTAGAGGATAATAGAAATAATTTTTAATCGCATTCCAATTATTATCTTTAGGCGAACATGACGGCAAGAAAACTTATTTTGTTTATATGTCGAATTAGTTTTTGTAGCTTGACACAACATGAACGTGTTCTATGAACGTATTGACACCAGCTAAGTAGGACGCCATAATCACTGGCTTCCATGAAAAGTAGACAGGAAGTGCACTTTATGAGCTGATGGATGGGAACGTTTTTCAAAGCACTGAAATTTTGCATGCGGATTTACGAGATGCAGCATACTTCAACAACGAGGTTCTTCTGGTTTCTTGCTAAACCTGTCTGTTGTTTGATTCGCATCAGTGTGCAAACATTATTTTGAATGCTTTTAATAAATACACTCACTTGTTTTTACAGTGCTGTCCTTCAGCTATCCTATTTTTATTTTTGTATTTCTGTGGATGCATCTCTTGGTGTCAGTATTGTTTCAAATTTAAAAAAGATGAATATGTCACTCTTATAACTGTATCTATTTATTATTGCTATTCCTTCTAGAGAACTAGTTTAATTTGGAAATCTACAATTAAGTCTTTGTTGACTTTTTCTTACTGTAGGTTATCAGCATTTATAAATCTACGGAAACGGATCGGAATCTTGTCATTTATATATGGGATGGACCAGTGTCACCTCATGATCAAAACACAGTTTTTCTAGGTCCATCTGGAAAGCGTTTGTTTCAAATGCTTCCTCATTCTCAGCATGATCCACAACTGGCTGCTTTAACAGGACATAATTTACAACATTGGAATAAATATGAAATTGAAATTCAAAGGAAATACTCACTAATAACTCCTGATGACTTAAAATATTTTAAATACTGTGGCGGAAGTAGTACTGAATATAGTGATTGGTCTGTCCCAGTTTCCATTTACGACGAGCATGTCGTTAGTGAGTCTGTTAAAAATCTTAAACCTGGTGATTTGATACGTATTCATAATGTACACGTTATCTATGGTCAAGTGAGTTTACTTTTCTGTATTATTATACTAATTCTTGTTTATTTGAACTGAAATTTACATATTTTCACATCATCTTATAATGGATGAATATGTAATGAAGTGTGTGTGTGTTTGAGTGTAAAGGATGTTTACTTGAATAATGAACTAGATATATTAGGTCGTAGCAGATAAAATAAACGCATAAAGGAACAGAACTCGGACTTCCCCAGCGCCTTACTGTGTACCAAATCAAAACGGAATATTGCGCCTTTTTCTCAGTCGGACTCCTTACTTTTCACCTAGCAATAGCTTCCACCTTGTCGAATTGCGTATTCTTAATACATTTTGCCTCAAAATGTAATTTCTTTCTGGCTTTAGACGCAACTCTTTGATGTGCTTTTGAATACTGTACAATTGATTTAATCCCGCCCTATTTGCCAACAGTAGACTGTTTTATATTCGTGGTAGATTTACACAGCCTCGGAAAATGATTCTGTCCGAAGGAAAGCTTCCTTTGCTGATCTGTTGTTTATATTCTCTATAAGTTGATTGGCATTCTCTGTCGTAAGTTGAAACTGTCAAAGTTACTAGTACTGTAACAATAGAAGACAAGGGCCAGGCAACAGGTCGTTTATTTAGGAAATCAACAGGTATTTATAGATTTTCATGTGCATTATTATAGATTATTGTAAGCAAACAAATACAGTCTTCTGATTGGTGGTTTCTCACTGAACGTTAATCTTTCATCTCTTTGTGGCCGTTAGTTGAAGTTCAGATTATCTATCGGCGAATTGTATCTACCTACTCAAAGTCTGCTGTGATTGGTTGTTGAATCAGTCTTTGTTCCTATTTTCCTCACGACCAATTTTGAGGACGTAAACATTGACGTAAATTACTGTCTACCAATTCGGCTAGCGGCCAGCTCTCACCACAGTACTAGTGAATACTAATCAATCCATTTTGGTTTATACATGGAAATTTATAACATGACAAAGTGTTTGGTGGATTATGGTGAAAATTACAAACATGCATTCAGACAGCTTACGTTAGCTATGTTTCCTGACATGTAGGTGGATTCTAACTTTCACCGTGAGACACATCTATTAGGCACATCACTTTTTAATTAGTTGTGTTCTCTGAGCTGGTCGATTTAGTTTTGAAGCTTTCGTAGTCCTTCTGGACAACATCTTCAGCGCATTAATATATGTGTAAAACTTGCGCACTGTGGTAGTAAGTAGTTTCATATTAGTGGCATTCAAATCCACAAACTCAATTAGAAACAAGCTTTGTCGGTTAAAGGAACCTGTGAAGCCTTTAAAACAAAACAATTTAGTTTATCCAATACCCTGCAATGATTGTCAGGTCAAATACATAGGTCAAACTAGTAGAACAGAGACAGTCAGACTAGCCGAACATAAAAACCTAGCAAAATCTAGATTGGTTGACCCAAATAAGACAAGAAATCTAGAGAATAGTTCAGCTATAGCACTACTTGCAGTTACACACAACCATACAATAGGGTGGGATAGAATGAAAGTTTTAAAATCTAATATCACAGGGTAGAGGGAGAGATTGATAGGGGAAGCTTTGTTTATCGAATCAACTGCAAATACATGTAATAGGAATGATTCAACACCTGTCCCAGCTATCTGGAAAATTCTACTACCCCTACAACAAATAAAAGACAAAGGAAACTATAAAACTCAAGTTTCAAAGTCGTGTGATTACAATTGACATGATTATAAACAATAAATTGTGTTCGGAACGTCATCCAGTAAATAATACTGTTTCACTGTGCAATACACCTAATAAACAAACTAATATGGAGTCTTCAGCGCATGTTTTAGTATAAAATGAACTCATTTGAATTCTCCATGAACGACATAACTGTGCTCCTGGCAGCCATCTTCGTGACTGGTAGTTGATTTACATCTCTATTGATGATTTTTATTGACTTAGGATTTGAAATTTCTTGTCAAGTGATTTACTTTTTATTAGCTGGTAATTTTCGTCGACAATAATTTTTTTGTTAATCTCTGATTCACTTGAGTACCAGGCTTCTAGAAATTCTCCGGCACCTGAGCTACAAATCTTCGCTATTGTTTTAAGCACATCAATATCAACGGAACAAAGTTGAAAGAGGTTACTTGTTTCACTTATATAGTCAGCATCATTTCAACTACAGGTGGAGGCACGGATGGGAATGTCAAAATCGGAATCAGAAAGGCAAGAAAGGTGCTTATTACTCTGAAATCATTTTTGAAATCTTCTGCACTGAGCACAAAGAACAAAATTCGGATTTTCAACACTAATGTAAAGTCGGCTCGTCTTTATGGATCAGGAAGTTGGCGTGTCATCAAAAGAATTTCCAACAGGCTTTATAATTTTATCAACACTTGCCTCTGCTCCATTTTGAAGACCAAATGGCTGTCCGGAAAAGATTAACAACAAAAAACTTTGGGAATGAAAAAAAACAAGCACCTGTTGCTTAAGAAACACGCCAAAGAAAATGGAAATGGACTGCACATACTCTGAGAAGACCGCTAAGTGACATCTCATGCCAGGCTCTCAGGTAGAACTGAGTGAGAAACGACGAGTTGGGCATCCAAGGGGAACCTGGAAGATATCATGTGAGGAGGAAATGAGGGCTTATGGTCAGTTAGGGAGCCAGCTAAAGGGGACTGCAGCATGAAATGCAAATGTCCTGCCGAAGGCCTATGTTCCACTTGGAACTCAAGGGAATGATAAGAATAACTTATTGAAGGCATCACACTCCATTTTGTCAATCTTCTCAGGCGACTCCTCTGTGTTTCTGCAAAATAGCGTCACTAATATTCGACGAATATTGTCATTAAGGATAGATGGGTTGTTTATTTCATAGCATAAGCCTTGTTTAGAGGAATCACCATTTCAGCAGTGTAATGGCTAGATGTAGAGTAAGTCATTACAGTTGTAAAATTCCTTTGGTCGAAGTAGGCGCAATATGTTAAGTCCTAATTACTAACTACATTAACGTGGTGTTGGTGTAACTGGAAGAAAAAAGGTTACTCAGAACAAGAAATAACTGTCCACTAAGTCATTGATTGTTGGCATAAGTTGTGTGAGGGTCTTTCAGTTGCATGGCGTAGGTTGTCGATACTGGAGGAATATGGGACTGGAGATACCAGCTGACATATTTAAAAATCTACCGTAGTAGAGCAGATTTATATGTATTATCTAGTCTCCACCTTAATTATTATTTTTTATTCTTTACCTCCCAGATGCGTCAGTAGCACTTCCTAATTTCACCCGGTTCTCCCCCATCACCTCCAACTAGCTCCATGACTACCTACAAGTTTTCGTCTCCTTCTCACATAGTCTTCTCTACGTCACTCTGGGACGCCCAATTCCTTGCTTCCCATTCGGGCTGTACTCAAGGGCCCTGGAATGTGGTGTCACCTGATGGTCCAACCCAGGTACACTTTTTTCTGAAAATAAATGTGGTGGTAGTTTCTTGGCTGCTTGTTCTTTGCCTTCCAGAGTTACTTTTCGATCAGCAATCTCATCTTCGATATCGATCGGAGGCAGGTATTGATGAAATTCTGTGGTAGTTTGTTGGAAGTACTTTTCGTTACACCTTCACCAAGGGTGTGAACCGTAGAGAAGCACTGACTGAATATTACTGTTGAAAATTTGAATTTCAGTAGAGAAAGAAAGACCAGATTTGCAGCATAAAATGATGTCATTCTATTTCACAGGTTCTCATCGGCTGCAGACTACCTGAAATTACAATGGTTATATAGACGATAATAACATACTTTAATGTTTAGGTGGTAGTAGCAAAGAAATAATATAAAAGTGACGCATCCGAAATGTAAGCATTAAAATTTTTAGTTAAAGTTTTCATCATCAATTTATACGCTTTCAAAGTAGAAAAGAGGGGGAGGGGTAAGACAGTAAACAGAAAAGATTAACAAACAGTGTTAGCTTGTAGGTTGACATAACAACTCAATGCATCTGCCCCTTTGAAAGCGATTTTGAGCCATATCACCGATTGTCTACAGGCATTGATGTTTACCGTCCCGAGGACCCCAACCAAGAAGTCTACACCTTCCTACGTGGCTTAAACTAATTGTAGTGGATTTCATTGACTGATGAGGCCATTTTATGGTTTGATCACCGCTGGCTCCTTTCAACCTGACCCTATGTCAGCTAACATTCCCCGTCGAGGAAGGCGATGGCTAGGCATAAGTAACACATGTCCTAATTGGTTTATGTTATGAGTTTAGCTGCAGGGAAGCTTATTTTTATTGCGCCTTTCATTCTTTTGTGACACTGCATCTCCTTTGAACCAAATGTATGAAAAATTCGGATCTTTTTCCTTGTATTTGGTGCTGTGAACCTACACACTGATTTCAGCCGGATGAATGTCTGTCTTGTTTTTCTAATCCTGACTAGTTTTGACATCTTCGGACGTGCTGCTTGGTGATAAAGCTATGCTGCCTGTCTAGGTATGTGATAGAGATAACTTCCTTTAGATGTTTCCCGTCGATGGTAGTTGACTTTTGTTGTTGGTCGAGTATCGCCATTGTCACTGTTTTCGTTAAATGAGACATGAATCATCTGCAAAATCCATATCTTCTAGTGTCATTTTTGAGTCCACTGTAAGCCGGTCTTTCCACTTCCCATGGTCAGCTGCATAATCTGGGCCATACTAGTTTTGAAGATCACTGGTGATGGTAAGCACCGTTGTTTAACTCCTGTCTTCATTTCAAAGGTTTTGATGAGCTTTCTGTTGTAATTTACTTAGCATGTGGATGAGGTATATGAGGGTCCGTGGTACTGCCAAATCTTTTTCTCGATCGAAGCTGACTATGTTAATTGTAATACCTTTTTTTCTTGCTTTACCTCTCCATCCTCTGTTTCATAACATGCTACAGTCTTTGTGTAAACGATTTAGTTTGCTTTTTTATTGCCTATTACTTGATATGCACTAAATAATGACGCTAGCTACTATCCAGATAATGACCGTTTCTTATCAAGATGTGCAAAGGAGCAAGATTAGGTTGATATCATATTTATAGCAAATGGAAAAAGATATGATTTGATGTGCTCAACATTAGAGGTACCGAATGAGGGTAGATTAAACAATTTTCTTTCGTATAGAGCATTCTAGTTTCTCTGCTTATTTATAGGTTTCCAGGCCGTAGGTGTTACGAACTTCCTGGAATAATTTGAGCGCCGAGTCAGATTGATTCATTATAAATTATTTAAATTAATCCCAGCGTGTTAAGAAAATCTTGCTCTGCTTATTTATTTAAATATTAAGCAATACATGGTGTTCGATGTGTAGATTACTTTTCACTTTCTACAAATCATGGGAAAAGGAAAGGGATGTTAAGGTTATATCATGAATGCCAGTAGTATCTGAATCTACTTAATTTTTTTTTCAAACGAAATAGACAATGTTGTCGAACCCTTTCAGGCATCACTTTCAAAGTATCAGCGTACTTAGCTTTATAAGAACTCGTTAATTGGTATACACTTCATTCTGTAAACTTCGAACTCAGTATGAACTCAGCCTTGTTTCTCAGTTCCTTCTGATAACGACACATTGATTAAATATTTTTTCCTGTTGTGCAACTTGCTAGTCACATTCGATCGTTTTGTTTAATATTCAGCTCCATCAACGGTCCTAATATTTTTCTGTTATGCGCACTGATCTTAAATTATTAAATTGTTTTGCACAAAAATTTTATTGTAAATTTCAGGATCATTTATGGAATTCACTAAAGAGGTTTGAGATTGTGCGACTGTTGTCAACTGAAGTTGTCGGATAGCTTATATTTGTTGAACAACTTGAATTCGTATCGCAATATTCATTGCAACAGAGTATATGAATCGTAAAGAAATTTCCATTCGAGAGTATTACCATGTCTTCTTGATTAAGAACCAAAATATTATTACATCCAGTTCTGTCTTTGGCTGAAACACGTTAAAGTGGACGGAGAGGAAGAATAATGTGTTTTGTGAATTGTACATTCGGGAAATAGCAATCATATACAAAATCATGAAGTGTTATTGAGGATCTTTGTAATTCAATTGTTCACATTTCATTACAAGGTTAGGTGACTTCATTAGCAAGATTTCTATCCTTATCTCGATTATGATAGTGTATTTCTTTTATGTGTTTCAGAGTAAACATGACGAACCATGTTCTTTACGTTTACTATTACATGGTAAAGGTAAAGAATATGGACGTGAAGTGAAATATTTGGGTGACAGTTGTCTATTGATAAATTACTTAAATGATTCATCAAGTGTTAGTGAAGATACTGAACGGTTATTAAATGAAGCCAATATATATGGTCTTTTAGATAACTTAAAAGCTGGATTGGAGCTAAGACCACCGTTGCTTCACCCTCAACCTGAATTCCTTCTGCCATATGAACTACAACAACCTGTAAGTAACGTATTCATCAATGTCAAATAGATTTTATATTAGTGCAGCAGACTATTATTCTTTCTTATTTAGCCTATTGTGACATATGTAGAAACAAATAAATTGTTCAAATACAAGATGTCAGTTTCATCACATCTTAGGCATCACTTTTCTATAGTTTAACCTTTTTTAAACTCACCGAAAGTACCCATTGAGTCATGAAGAAAATAAAAGACAATTCAGCGAAGAAAATTTTCTTTATCGACGAAATCATCTTCAGAGGCTGTGCAGTCGTATTTATATTTACCAAAAATGCGTAGTGGTTTATTATTGAGTAATAAGGGGTGACATAATTGATATAATTACTGAGAAGTGGTTTTATAAAGGAAAATGAAATTTGTAAATTACGTAGTACTCAACGGCACAAAGGAAGAAAAGTTAGAAATAAGGTTAAAATTGTTATTGAGTAAGAAGTTAGTTGATTGTTAATTTAACAAGTGTGAAGAACATATGCGAGTGATAATAGTGAATTAATTACTAAAGTAAACGAAAAATTAAACCTCCCTTCTTTTAATTGCTAATCGTTCCTTTTTTGTCATTTTCTTTGATATTTGTAGTTGACAATCTCTCAAATATACAACCTTCCATTAATTGTCAATAAAAGGGAAAGAGAGTTTCATAACTGGGATTTATTATTTCCCCTAACTACACAAATCATTCCCTCTATTCCACCTTCTAGTTGGTTAGTAATTGATAATCTTCCAAAAAGTGCTTCCAACTTAAATGTTGTCTGTACACGATTATGTGCCCGAATTATTGATGTTGCTCCGCTTAGTGTTCAAGCACTAAAAGATTGTTTATGGTTAACGTGTAAAGAATGTTCCATTTCACAGAGAAGTTCTTGTATTTCTAATAATGACATGTATGCATTAATTACAATGATATTTTTTAATGTTTTTTTAACTACTCATTTATTAGTAACGTGTTGATTCATAAATTAGTTTTTAACTCAGATACCAAAGGAAATAAAATATTTCTAGTAGTTGGTAGATTGTTTGAACTTTTGTTCATTCTAGATTTTTGTAGTAGTAAAACTTACTTTTTAAAACATACCAATCAATATACCATTCTAAGAGTGTCATTAGTATAAAGTAAAGACATTCATATAAAACACAAAATGATTGAGCAAAGGATATCCTTTTCGATAAATTCCTCTTCTGGCTCTACAATTATAGATATGTTTATATACATAGAATATTCTAGATTAGTAGTCAATAACTGTTAGTGTTGTTTTTTATCGAAAATGATATTCTTTGCTCAATCATGTTGTGTTTTATAGATGTCTGAATAAATACTTTTGCTATATTGAAATCTTCTGAATATTCATGTAATGGAACAAAAGTTTCTGCATCAAACTTTTTATTCGCAAACTACACAGTTCGAGACGAGAAACACCATAGTTTCTGTTGAAAACCAGAAATATTAAGATCATAATATGTGGTCTGTTTGATAACATGAACGGCATTCAGGATAACATAAAGTTATATTATGTAACTGATTGATATGGGTAGTTGGGAACCATTCACAGTGCTTGCTGGCACTGCACAGTATGTGATGTGAATATTTCTGATGATTTCTCACCAAGAACTGTGTAATGTGTAAATGAAGAATTTGAGTCTAAGCATTACTAGTTCGACCAAGTAGCTAGCCAGAATTTGGGTGGTTTTAATCCTTTCGGCTTTCTGAGCTGAGTCAAACTACCTACACTGCTGATGTGCTCGGTCTCAGACGAACGAAGCAACTTTCTGGTTTTTAGATCACCTCTATCTAGCTACCAAGCATTAGCGTGTGATTTAATTTGATTTTAAGCTCAATTATCCGGAACAGATTTTTCATGTTCCACACTTATCGTGTTGGGCACCGGTGGTGATACTACCGAGTAGCGCATACTGAATAAGGTGGAGGTGGACTCGAATGCCTGACCCATTGGCTGAAAACCAAATGCTTAAGCCAATGAAACATATCCCCATTTTTGCATTGAGTGGTTCCCAACTACTCATATTAGTAGCAAACGCCATTATGCTATACGTTTCTGTAGTCACTGAAAGTATGGATCCTACCTCACTGCAGCCAGTGGAATTATTTCGGTTTCCACTTAACGTGTTACACTCCTGCGACGGTACTATCATTCTCCACTGATTGACTATTTCAATGGTTTCAAATCTTTGAATATTCCCATTTATAATATTAGAACAAGACATATAAGCGAACAATATTGTTTTCAATTAGATCTTCTTCAGGCTTTACTCTAATTTACATAGATTTATATATAAAATTTTAACCAATGACGGTGATTTTGGGAATCAAATAATAATCTTAATAATAATAATAATAATAATAATGTGGTAAATGTTTTATTATTAACTACGTTCAAAACATTTACCACATTATTATTATTATTATTATTATTATTATTATTATTATTATTATTATGAAGATTATTATTTGATTCCCAAAATCACCGTCATTGGTTAAAATTTTATATATAAATCTATGTAAATTAGAGTAAAGCCTGAAGAAGATCTAATTGAAAACAATATTGTTCGCTTATATGTCTTGTTCTAATATTTCAATGGTATATAAAATTACTTGGAAGCATCTCTATAACTCCCTAATTCTCGTAATCTACTTTCTTTTTATCATGTATCTGAATTCTTGGTGCATTGTTTTGATAAAAACTAATTACTGCAAAGTCCTTAGTGCTATTTGAAATTTATGAACACGACACTGCAGTACATTGCAAAAATAACGTTATCTTTTTATATTCTTGTTGCACTTAAATCTAGACTTTTTCATTATCCTTCTTCCTTCAGCATCCCAGTTTAGGTCACATTATGACTGTAGAAACAATTATCAACATTCATATTCTGTCCTGTATTGCATTAGCGTTATTATCACTATTACTCCTATTATTGTGTTTTATTGAAAACTGGTTCCCCTCCTTCTTACCACATCTGATCAGATTGAAGCCTGAAGGCGACACAGTACATAGTCAGTACTATTTATTTCCTTAACCAGGTTTGTTTGGTAAACTCCTATGGTCTTGTAACGACTTAGTTTATGATCTTTACCTATACCTTTTATTATGGAGGGTTATTTACAGCAGTTTTTACGGTTGTTTACTACTTTTCTTTTCATCTTACTCAAAACATTCTAGAACTGATAGTCGTTGTCGTTGGTAAGTTGTCCGGGGACGCACCAACTGTCTTAGCTGCCATCTAGTGCTCGGACATTGATTGTCAACTACCAAACTTTGACTAATAAATGCAAAACACACTGCAAAGTGGATGACTTCTGTTCAAACAGAAAGTCAGAGTTATATTTTTAAAAGTGTACTCAGTACTGACCTGAGATATTAGGTGTTTATTATTAAATTATTATTCCCTTATGTTCCCAGTGAAACATAGAGTTTTAACAGCACATCTTTATTTCATCTGGTTCTGTGCAGTCCCCACAACTGCCTATAAGCTCTCACCTCCTCCCCACACGATCTCCTCCATGTCACTCTCGGATGCCCAACTTGTCGTTTCCCATTCTAGTTCTACTGGAGGACCTGACACGTGGTATCACTCGAAGTGTGCCTGATACGTATCCATTTCCTTCAGCACATTTTTCGGGCAATAGGTTCTTGCTTGTTTTTTTCGCTGCCTGCCACATATCCTTGTTGCTAATTCTTTCTAGTCACTTAACATTCATTATGGAGTGGAGACAGTTGCTGATAAAAGTCTGAAGTATGTTAGAAATAATTTTGGTGATGCACCAAGTCTCTGAACCATACAGAAGAACCGACTTAACATTAGTGTTAAAAATCCAAATGCTGTTATTAAGGCTTAGTGAGACAAATGTCCACATTGATTTTGGATTAATGAAAGTTCTTTTTGCTTCTTTGGTCCTGACTGGTTTCGACATCGTCATCGGTGCCACCTGTAACTGAAACGGTTCTAGCTAGATAAGTGAAAGAGGTGACTTCCTTCGAGTTTCCCCGCTGATAGTGATTGGAGCTTTTCGTTGTCGCTGGTGACCAGCTATGTCCATCTTCTCCGAGTTCACCTGAAGTCAAGCCTTCTCTGTTTCTTCTGCCAACTTGTTGACTTTCGCCCGTGAGTCTTCGAGTTTACGGTACATTTGACATAAATCATCTGCACAGTCCAGATCTTCTGAAGTCTTCTTGTCCATCCAGCGTATTCTGTTTTTTTCTCACCTCACCCAGTTGACTATAATCAGGATTATCATCTTTGACTTTAGACAACCTTTTCCTACTCCCGTCTTCTCTTTAAAGGCTTCCCTAAGCTTTCCGTTTACGAAGTATAAAATCTCTTAGTCATCCATGAGTTTAAGTATTATCTTTCATTTACACAGAATAGAACTGGATTGGTCAATTTTCTAACTAGTTCAGCTTTTTTATCTGTGAAGTCCATAAATTTCAATAGTTGTTAATTTTCCTTCCATAATGGATAAAATTAATTTTGATAACGTCGTACAGTTTTAAACAGTAATATTTACCGATGATGTTTCGATCACAATTTATTACTCATAATCATATCAAGTTACTCGCACAACTTTCAAACTTCGTTCATATAATTCCATTATTTTTCATCTCATCCGTTATCTGTAAAGTCAGGCTTATTTAAGTGTCTAACAAAGCGAGCAACAGCATTAAGTACCACAAGAAAGAACCTAGACGATGAAATAAAACAGCTAGAAGAAGAGTTTTTGTGTTAAATAACTAACTATCCTATCAAATCCATTAGGAATATCAAAAAAGGTCAAAAGCAAAATAAAAATAATGGGGAAACTAATGATGATAGCATGAATGAGAAAGAATGTAAGGCATCTATAGTTTCACCATATACGGAGATGACATATGAAACCCTACGCAGGATTCTTAATAAAGCAGGAATTACAGTGGTATTGAAACCTACAAACTCACTCAGGGACAAGTTCTGTAGCTTAAATGACCCTGTTGACTCAATCAAACAAAATGATATTATTTACAAAATACCTTGTAATGAATGTGAGGTCAACTACATAGGTCAAACTAGTAAGTCGGGGGTAGTCAGATTGTTTGAACATAAGAATTTAGCTAAGGTAAGAATGGTTGACCCCGAGAAGATAAGTAATTTAGAAAAAAGCTCAGCGATTGCACTACATGCATTGACACACCCATAAAGTGGGACAGAGTTAACATTTTAAAAATTAATATAAGTAGGTGGAGAGAGGTTGATTACTGAGTCTTAATAACTTATTTAGGCTGTAAGCAGATGATGAGATGCCAACGAATTGATTGTACCATATTCTGCAAAAACTGTCGTTCTTGCTTTTTTTTCAGAATCTTTGTTCGCCGAATCTACACCCAATACATGCAACAGGAATGACTCATCACCAATACCAGAGATATGAAAAGTACTATTACCAATTAAATCAAGAGACGAAAAATAATGGAATTATGTAAACGAAGTAAGAAAGTTGTGCGAGTACCTTGATATGATTATGAGCAGTTAATTGTGCGCGAAACATCATTGGTAGATATTACTGTTATACCACTGTAAGACGATATTAAAATAAATTTTCTCCATAATGGAATTATACTCTGACACAGTATCCAAGTTCTGTTCTTATATTAATGTTTCTTTATATAATAATTTTTGCTATCATAACTTCAAACCGTCTTATTGTAAGCGGAGGTATATTGAATGTTTACATCACTAGATTCGTTTTGTGAACCACTTTTTAAAAGTCTGAAATACCCTTGTATTGTAGTTGTTAATGTTATCATTTTTCGCTTCTTTTTTCTTCCAGTGGTATTTGCGAATGCGGATCTCGGTAAGTTGATATTACCTTTTTTGTCTATTTTGAAGTTTAACTTTTCTGCCTTTTCTTTTCCTACATGTAGAAGATCTATCCGGTACTATGATTCTAACTGTTTCTGGTCAGGATGTTATCAGTTTACTCACTGATTTAATCGATAGTCAGTTAACGCCATTCATCCACAATAGCACATGGTGGTCAGGACTAGTTTTTGAATTGCCAGAACTCAAGAATATGCATATATCACCAGAAGAAGTGATCCTTGATCAATATCATCAATTATTAGGAGAGTGGATTGATGTAGCAGTTAAAGTAAGCTGGTCAAAAGAAACCGTATCATCAGATTTTGTGAATCAGAATGATCTTCAAATTAATTTAATTGGTTGGGATTCTGTATAAGGATATACCAGCATGCGTGAATATCATGCATTTGTTCATTTTATCTTGTAATTAAGACATAAAATATATCTTTATAACTGTATATCACACTGTTGTTTTGCTAAACTATTTTTTGTTCGGATGTCATTTAAATGCTTACAGTGTAACATATTCGAAAGTGTTTTCTACAAGCATCTATTTTTGAACTGTTATTTGTTTCTTCTGTGAATGCAAACAACGCAAAAATCATTTGAGCCTAAAAGAATACAACTGATCGCCTTGGATTTCGTTGCAATTTCTCCAGCACTTTATAATCTGAGAACAGCATAAGTGGAAATCAAAGAATAAAGTTGTCATGAAGGAATCAGTGTTATATGATTGTAAAAAGCTTTTCTTAGTAATGTCATAAATAAGCTGCCCCTTAGAATATAAGACTCATAGAGTAAGGATCACAAAGATTGCTTTAATTTCAGTGGATTGTAATTACACTTAAAAGGGTAACCAATGCCTGAAGTCTGTAGGCTTGGAATCTCTTTGTTATGCAGCCTATCAGTTTATCCCTACTTACCGTCCCGTTACTAAGAATAATGCTGTTTTTAATAATTTGACTAAATTAGTTAAGGGTTGGTTGTTTTTCTTTGATGCGTTAACGAAATATTTAACTATCGTTCATTGGTATTTTGATGACGACTTCAAGTAGAAAACTAAGACACTCAGAGGACAACAGACTAAACTGGGGAATATTTATTCATTCACTTGCAATTGTTTCGTGAATATGTTTAATAATTTTACATTTAAAATATGTAGTAGCTAGCAGAATGAATACAAAGTTGTTAAGATTGGTGAGTGTCAACCGAAATATAAAAGAGGTGTAGTAAAGATGATGAAGTGTTAATTAGTATGAGAAAGTGTTCAAAGAACGAATTATTACCAAAATAAGTGTGAAAATAGAAAAGAGGTGTTATTTAGTAAGAACCAGTTCCTTCGTATCTATATCGTTGAAGCTTCGGTCATCAAAATAAAGGAACCAAAGCTTTGTATACAGTCCTACCTCTTACCATAGAATTGATCAGCTGATGTTAAGATTATTATTAATAATCCTTCCATCGCACTTGATTCTTACCCAGTGGCACCTCTTTTGTGCCTATGCTCCATTTGAGAATAATTCGTTACTGTGGGAGTTTGTCATATTACTCATACCCTTATCTATTATTATTAATTCACCGTTACTGTACCTCTATTAAATTTGGACTAACGCTCAGTGATGTTAACAACTTTAAACTCTCCTGATTACTATAGGTTTAAATGTAAAGCCATCGGACACATTCATCGAGCGAATTGTATGTGATTGTGGTTGTAAAATTGTAGTAAATCGAATCACCGCAAAGAGTTACTTCGATGGCTCATTTATTTTCTTTTTTGCTCTCTGTTTTAACGGGGATTTACCGTGAAATCTTTCCCAGTGACTAGTGTCTTTTGAACAATCCTGTAGATTATATCAATGATAACTAATGGAAGGAGCTTAATTCAGTCATTGTAATCCAAAACAGGAATAAGTTAGGAGAGGAAACCAAGTCAGTTTAGCAGTTAAGTGCCTGATTGCACTGTTTTATAGCTTGTTAATCGGTACATCTCTTCCGTGCTAATCGTTCCATATACACACTATTGATCTTCCACAACATGAAAAACGTAGATAACCCACGATCTGACTGACTGAATTACTAAAGTGGAGCTTTACACAAAGTGCATCAATTTAGCTTCCTACACTTCAGAAAAGCAAGCGTAAAACTAGAGGAAGGAAATGTAATGAAACTAAAATAGACAGAAATGTAGCGAAAACGAATAATTAGCTAATGATTTCGAGTAACAACCAAAAGTGTTTAACGATTGATTTCAGGCATCTCGATGAACGCAGCCAGACAGGCTACATGGCTTGAATCAACAGTCAAAGACTTCACGGGCTGATACCTTGCTCTGGTCTGACCACCCCTAACCCTCTTCCAAAGTAATTCTACGTCACATAATGTTGCTCGCTAGGAAGGCGCTAGCTTAGTGGGCGTAATACGTCCTGAACATCTCGATTTAGGGAATTTCATCTACTTCCTTGCTCGACAGTCCACGGCGAATCTCATCACTTCAACAAAACAATAAGAGGACGTAATTTATCTGGAACGTGTAATGTGTTGGCGCAACATATTCTGGACATTCTGATCACACAACGTATTTGTCTTACAGATTTATATAGAAAGCAACAGGACATGAATGATTGCAGTATAGGCAACAGGTAAGAGGTAGGAAGACATCGTAAGAAAAACAGGGGTGAAAATATCAGAAAGTAAATTGGAACTTGGTTTTAATATTGGACTACCAAGGCAGGTTCAGACTAATGACAAATAATTTTCTAACACATGGAACAGGTGTACACCTTTTATGGCTAAGGCTTCAACGAGTTTGAAGATGAGCATTTCCGATAAGTAGATGCGTTGATATGATGAGTTCATTACGACCATTGTTGGCTGATGTTGCGTTGTAAATCTGGCTGGAGCAGATTCGATGAATTTAGATGTATCGTTTATTTTAAGTTTTCGAAAACATTGCAGTTACAGTGACGTAACAAACTTTTGAGTGAACATCCATGATATTGGGTTTAAAGTCGGGATGCATCCAGGTTTTTAACTCTCTGGCTCTCATCAACATAATATCTTTATGGCCTTGAGAAAACTAGTGTTCCTTCTAAAGTTTTTAATTTTTCCCTCGATTCCGCAATGAAAAACCTCATGACTGTAATTTTCGGAGCTAGAGTATTCGTATAGTCTTTCGATAAGCAGTAATCAGTTCCACTTAAATGTAACAAGGTTGGGCCGACTGATCCATAATATCACGCAGCTGCACATCACTGTCATCTTATGCAGTTAAATGCCGACATTGTGGGCCTGATCAGTACCCATAACGTTGTTTGTCATCCAGAGATAAATTTAGAAAAATTCATAGTAATAAAATAATGATAACTAGTGCCATCATTTTACAGAAGTTGCTCCTGCCGTAAGTAAATAAAAATGGTGTTATTTGTTCACAAAAATTTAGTCAAGAATTCATACACCCTTACACCTGAAGTGTAAATCTTAAGTTCTCCGTCAATGTCCCCTAAGAATTGTGTTGAATACCGAAAAAAGTAGGGCGTTAGATGTTGATGGGCATAAATAAGAAGATAGCTAACCGTGACGTCAATCCCCTGTTTACCGTCACTTGTGATTATCCATAACCATGTAGTGCACTTTACATTCCCCCCCCCCCCCCCCCCATGTAACCCTTCTGACAGTAAGACTCTTGATTATCACTCGATTCCACAAAATTAGAAGCGGTCAAACTGTAAAAGGTTTTTTGCGACATGTCCCATAGGCAAAATCACTTTGGATATGTGTGTACGCTGACATTGGTATTTTTCAGTTATTTTGTAGAATATTTTCTACGGTCAGCCATTATCATACTTAGACTTATGCTAATGTCAAGTTGTTAGGGAGATTTCAACTTCTTGGAGGATATGGAGAAATCTGCTGCAATATTAATTGAAGCATATAATTAGTTGATAATGAGATGTGAAATTATAAGTTAGCATGTGTATCTGCTTCAAACTCATCAGTTGTAGGCGTTGACATATATGTCCTGTGAGTCGATATATTGAAGCTGTCATCTCTGTTAACTTTCTGCAGGATTTAGAAGATACGAGAATTTAACCTGTTCGCCCTAGCAAATCAGAGACTACTTATAAAATGGAATAAAAATTACGTTAAGCGTTTAACATACGAATCAAGTAATTTACTTTAATTTCAAAAAGATTTCCACTACTGACTGACCCTTTTATGCAGAGCTCTGGAGGACTATCTTATTTTAGCATTTGGATGAGTGGTGAGTATGCGCAACCAAATAGAGTATTCACATGCTTCAATTTCCATTGAATCACTACATGCAGTTTCTAAAACCTTATCGTCAACAACTGTCACGCATTAATTCTAGCTTCTGATATAATGGAGAAGATTTGTAGCTGAGGTGGATGATATTGAATTAGTTGTGTTCTCTGAGCGAGTTGATTTAACTGCGAAGCTTTCATCGTCCTTCTAGACAACATCTTCAACGCAAGTTTTAGTATAAAACAGACTTATTTAGTTTCTCCATAAGTTATATAATCGTATCTCCTGACAACCACTGTCGTTACTGGTTGTTAATTTACGTCACTATTGATCATTTTTATTGACATGGAATTCGGAATTTCTTGTCATGTGACTTTCTTTTTATCAGCCAATTTGGCTGCAGAAAGACATGCATGTGGATAGTTATGGACACAGATTTGATTGGGATAATGTAGAAATGTTAAATACAGGAAATACCAAAAATGCCAGGGAATTCCTAGAAGCTTGGTATTAAAGTGAATAGCGGTTAACAGACATGTTATTATAGACCAGCTCAGAACTAATTCTATTATTCTATCTTCATCAGCCTAACTTGCCACAGTTTGTACTTTGAACTTCAGAACGTCAGTCTCACTGTCCAACAATGTTGTAGAGCGTCGAGCTAGTAGTCCGAATGCCAGTGATTCGAAACCTACACAGATTCAGATTTTTGTTTCACCCGTTATAACAGTAATTTTTCTGCCAGCCTAACGCTATCCTAAATTCTCTTATCATCGAATATTATCTAATCTGTTGGTTTGATCTTCGGTGATTTTCTATCTAGTGTTAGTCTATGATAAGAAATATCACGGAAACAGTTAATTTCCCACAAAACACTAAGAGGAATTTTTAAAAATAATTGAATAACTTTTGAATGTATCTACCTTTTCTTTGAAAGATTCTCGCATAACTGTTACTTTTCCGGACCAGAATTTCACTATCGTATCTGTCAACGTAACAGATAGCCTATCTAGACCTATCCCCAAATAAATTCCAGGACGTTTTGTACTACTACAAAATAAATTAGTAGCATGTGAAAATTGACTCAATTTTCTCTATAGAGAACAATGCCTAGATTATCTTTCAGAACCGAAAGGTTCTTTCCAGACGTCTCGACATAATCCTGAAGCATTCTGCAGTGAACACCGACACAGTTTTTTTTATTTTTTTATTTGTGTGACTGGGATGATGCATCGGTCTAAAAGTAAGTGACATATCGCCAAC